CAGTGCAATACCTTTCTACATCATTTGGTGATCGTAGTCTTTGATTAGACCCCCTCTCAAAATAATACACATCCGTACGAGTGCCGTCTGGCCTTGGAACAGGTTTACGAAGCCAAGTTACTTGTCTCAATGTAGATTGAGTATCAGTGCCAATAATAGAAGAAGGTACATTGGTATCGGTTCTTTCCTCTATTTCAGGAAAATAGCCAACTGGAGTATCATTAGATTGGAACTCTACCCTTTCTTCAGATTCCAAATCAGGAAGGGTGCCCAGTGCAGCTCCACTGCCACTTTTCTGCATTCCAATTGACTCTTTAAAAGTAGCATTTAGGGTTTCTACTACCTTTTGCTCATTTTCCAACCAAATCTTGTACCCTTTTGTTCGTACACTGTACCCAATCAATCGGCCCTTCGTTGCCTTTGGATCAAGTTTAGAATTTCTTTTAGCCTTTGGAATTCCCACATAGGCAATCGTTCCAAATGCCTTAAGATGACGTACTGATGGTTTCCGCTTAGTGTATAATTCAAATGGGGTTCTATCTTGGCCCTTATGACAAATTCTATTAAATGAATATGCAAAATACATTACTGCATCTGACCAAAATTCGGAACTCATTCCACTATCGTGTAAGATTGCACATACATTATTGAGAGCTGTCTGATTAAATCTCTCACAAACTCCATTCTGTTCTGGAGTGTAGACATCTGTAAATTCGTGCTTTACACCATTTTTATTACAATATGACCTGAATTGATCATTATCATATTCTCGCCCATTGTCAGTTCCTAAAGTATTTCAACCTAAGGTTCAAAGATCTTTCCGCACGTGCTATATGCCTTTCAAATACTTCAAACACCTGACTTTTCTCCACAATGGGGTACACTACCACGTAACGAGAATATTCGTCAATAAAGGAAACGAAATAACGTTCACCATTCCTACCTGGAATGTTAATAGGTCCCCATACATCAGAGAAAACCCTTTCAAGCGGTCTCTTTACTTGAATACCTTCTAAGGGTCTATAGGAGATTCGTCTTTGCTTATTGATTTGGCAATGTTCACAAAACAAATTAGGTGAGTGCTTTAACACAGGAAGACCTCGAACTGAATGTCTCTTACTAGTCCTGACAATAGTATCATAATTTATATGACCAAACCGACCATGCCATAATTCACTATTATTATGCTGAACTGTGGATGCCTCAAATTTTACAGATTTGCCCCCCTTTTTGATTATTTTCGGGAACACATGATAGTTACTTCCTATCAACTTAGCCTTGGTACAAAGTTGAATTTTCATCATCAGTAACTTTAATTTGCCCATTTTTACCATAAAATCTTGCTCCATTGATATCCACCCTAGGTCCAGATATTAAATTTCGTCTCAGTTCAGGTGAATATAACACATCTTTAAGCAAAATAACCGTATCCCCAAATTTCATTTTAACAGTACCCTTCCCATGAATTGGAAAAGTTACCCCATCAATAGCTACTAGCATATTCTCATTTTTCACAGGAGAAAAAGTATCAAACAATTCACGATTTTTACAAAAATGATGAGATGCAGCCGTATCAAAAATCCAACTATCATCATTTTCTTCCAAATTGTTAACATTAGCTTGAGCTATAAAATGGGACTGTGCATGGGAATTATTTTTACTTTTACTCAACTTGGGTTTATTCTTACACTTAGGAAGATGTTTTTACTACTAGATACAGCTGAGGAAACAGAAGAAGCAGGTGAGGGTGATCTGGAAAAGTTACCTCTCATTCTACAGTATTTTTGAATATGACCTGGACGGCCACATTTATAACACTTGAGCCCTTTAATCTGCTTAAATTTGGGTTCACAGTGAGTACTTTGAACTTCTATAGTCTTATTGGAGTTTTCCCTATCTATCTCTCTTAAATTAAGACGCGTTTCCTCTGCTAGAATTTCAAGTTCAACATTTTTAAAAATGAACTTTTCATCTGGCCACCTCAAAATATTCTGAACTACTTAATCAAATTTATCTGGAAGGAACCTAAGAAACTGGAAACATATATATACGTCTCTTACAGCCTGATTAATATCAGCTAACTGTTCAGTTACGTGTTTTAATCTAGAAGAAAAGAAACTAATACTTTCATTTGGCTTAATTTTGCAATTTAAGAATTCTGAAAACATTGACATATGTCTTGACTGATAATCTGGCTGGAAGTATTTGGCAAGCGTATTCCATGCCACTACCGGGTCATCAATTTCACATATCAAATTTCTATATTCAGGGCTTACATTCATATAAATTAACGATAATGCCAATCGACTTCTATTTTGATAGTCGGCAATAATTTCTTTTGCAATACCCTTAACATCATTTAAATCAGGACATTTTTCAATACCCTTAACCAAAAGCCATGCATTTTTTTCATTCAAGACAAACTTCATATCTTTGGACCATGTAAAATAATTACATGCATCAAGTTTAGCAATATTATGCATGACACTAACAGTAGCCATATTTGAATTTTAACAAAAACCGCCCCCCCCCCAATCTCTTAAGTCCTAAATTAACTTTAAACTTCAAAAGTCTGCACTAAAAATAACTCAGGAGCTGGTGGCCCATAACCAAAATGATGCTAAAGCAAAGTTTAAAGTTTAAAGAAATTAAACATTTAGCAGTAGTAGCAATGAAAGCTCCCTGAGATATGTTGTGCAGACATTGAAGACAATAAAAGATTTTGAACTTAACCAATTTATTAACAATATAATAAAGAATAAAAACACAGAAAATAAATGTCAACAATATTAGAGTCTTAGGAAAAATATAATATAATCATCATTCATCAAACAATATTTTTACCTGGTCTCCAAAACACTGGCATTCTATACAAACAAAAAGTCCTAAACAGTAATTTATGCGGCCTAAAATTGAAGCTGGCTACACATTCAATAAGTCCATAATCAATGGTCAAGAAAAACACCTGAAATTTTAAATCAAGTTCTTGAAAACATTTAAAACCGGCCTAACTCCGTTTGCACAAGGAATCGCCGCTCACGTATTTTTAATTGCCGCCTTTATTGAAGAACATGGATGCCGCCCATGGTAGCCTCTGAAACCAAGGAACTTTATTCTGGAACAGCCATCCCGCAAACCGGAACCAACCAAGGAACTTTATTCTGGAACAGCCATCCCACAAACAGGAACCGAGGCACTTTATTCACTGAACTGCATGCATCCTTCTGAAGGGGCTGGAAACCGCTCACTCAAGTGCCAGGTAAGCAGGAACTAGAAGGGTTGAGCCAGAGCGACGCGAGATACTTATAGCAGAAGTAGGAATGACGTCATCTCACGGCAACCAATCAGCTATCGGCACGAATCAGCTTTTCAGATGACATAACATCATGTTTCGTTTTTGCATCTCAATTAGGTTGAAACAGTCCATTCTCAATGCAAACAGTGGCAGCAAGAAAAAGAAGTAGAAGTAACTACTATATTACATTAAAATAAGGACTAAACTAAATAAACATTTCAAGGAGAAGAGATGATGCAGTAAAAGGTTTAAAAATAAGCTATGTTTTCCAACAGATCATAATGCTAAATGGCATTATGAAGCCAGTTTTCAAGAGTGGATTTTGTGAAAATAGTGGTTTTAACAATGCAACACAACTTACTATCATCTTTTAATATTATTAAAAAGTTAACATCCTTAGCACTGTTAATGAAGTCAGGACTGAAAAGTGGTCAATTAAATATTACTTATCTATATTACTCATAATCAAAATAGCAACATATGGAACACGAATATCGATTGGTCTGCCGAGACTACGGGCTGCATGGAAGTTTTCATAGCTTTCCCCAAGTACTTTGTAATGTTTATCCCACGTTTTTAATAGTTAAAGCTACTTTCTTGTCCCTCCTAATTTCAGCTTGCAGTTTCCTACCAGAATGTGTTTTTAGAATCGTGTTTAATGCAAATGAGTAAAAGCGGTATTTAAGTTCCACTGATTTTGTTAGAGAGCCTGAGTTTCTGACTAGTGCGCATTCCCCTTTTGGCTACACTCTCTCTCTGAGCTATTTCTATGCTCGGCCGTATTTCAGGCCCTTGATAGCTTTGCCAGCTTACTTCATATTTACCCGCTAACTACTTAGAAATCTCAATAGCTTCTGGTATATCTTTTTTAGTTAAGCATTAGTTAAGTTTAATTTCTAATTACTTTGAGTTCAAGACCAAGTGGAGCCTTTATTGTACACTCTGAGAAAGGAGCCGACTGTGAAGCTCTTATTTTGAGAAATAAAGGGTAATTAACCCTTCTTGAGTTTTATGTTTCTGTTTCTGTATGATTATTCGTTCTGTAAGATTATTCGCTTACTTATTCACAAGGCTCCTACACACTTAGTTGTTAGATAAAAGGTTGGAACCCCACACTTAGTTGTTAAATGGGTTGTCCTACACACTTAGTTGTTAAATGGGGTTGTGGTAGAGAGACTGTCAACTCGACGTATAAAATGTATATTCGACCAATACTACATACTGTGCGATATTGATCTCGGCTACGCGAGCAATACATACTTCTATAAAAATCCTTCACTAAAGGCATGAATTTTGATTAGTCTGCCGAGACTACTGGCTGCATGAGAGTTTTCATAGCTTTCCCCAAGTGTAACATAAATACATACGTTTAGAAAAATCCTTCCCTAAGGCGTGCTGGATTTATTCTGAATAGTGTGAGTTGCCTTTTGGAAGAATGTCAGAGGGCAAACTTAAGTATAGACTTTTCCAGCCTCCAAAAGTATGATATATTTGTATTTGAGCACTAGAGTTACTATTAATGTATGCCTATTGTGAGGAGGAATCCTATTATTCATCATTTGACAGAATATTATTTCTAATATTAATGCTCCTAACTGTCAATGATAAATGAAAAACCAATTATTCAGGACTCAGTATTGATCTATAACTTTTTTTGAAGAAGAAGTACTGGTATCTTAAACATAATATTTTTTTTTTCCCTTAGGTTTTTAACATGTAAAGAAAATGATAAAAAGATTCCTTTATATTCTTTGCATATTAATCCTCAGAAACCACATGAATGTGTTTTAGGAGGAAGAAGTCAGTATGTCAAGTAAGTATATAATATAAATGTCTAAAATTTATTCTAACTTTTAAATCATACATATATATTTATAGTTGATTTGGAAGTATATAAAGCTTATGTGTGTGTGTGTATATATACACACATAAGCTTTCAGAGTTCTAGGAGTTCAATTCCTAGCACTTATGTCAACCAGAGACAAGTCTCGACATCCATGCAGTAGTGTGGGGGATGTCATAACCGTAACTGTTTTTTTTTTTTTTTTTTTTTTTTTTTTTTTTTTTTTGAAGTATTATTAACTTTCTACTTTTAATAATGTGCAGTTAAATAAATAGTTTTGCTTAACTGTCTATTTAACTGCATTATTTATAAACCTAAAATTGTAGTTTTTACTATTAAAAAACTGTTATTATATGACTGTATCTGTATCTCAGTGAGTAATATAGTCTTACAAGTGCTAGCATTCAGAGTATGCTTTTTGTAACTTGTTTTTGTTAAGCATAAAAGTTGTTCGTTGTGAAAATAACTAGTGATGTAATTAGTTAATGAATTAGTTTCTTCCAGTATAACAATGTGTGTAATGACCTAGTACACATAGTGGTGTACCTGATATACTACTGTGATGACTCATAAGAGAAAAATCAAACATCCATGAACATTTACATGCATCTAGAGGCTGTGTCATCTATTTGTTAATTACAAATGTAAAATCGACAATAGCAATATAGAAAAGATAAAAGCCATAGATATTTTCAAATATTTTTATGATTTCTATGGCTGAAACCATATGTGTGTGTATGGGGCCGAGTGTGTGACATATTATTTTAAATGCACTTGTAGTCTATGAGTGCTTTAAATGGGCATTTAATTTGCATGTATTCCTAAACATTGTGTGCCTGAGCTGTCTGAGTTTCTACAGTCAAAAGTCGTTAATTCGGACACCCATAATCCGGAATGATCTATAATCCGGACCTCAAAGCTAAAAACTTTCTGGGCATGCGCATAGGCGTTTACGCGTGCACGTAAGACCTTTATGGCTGTGAATATATGTGTGCGCATGCGTATAATACGTTTACGCATGTGCGTTTAATGTATAACGGACAGTCTAAGCTAAGCTAAAATTATCTAATTCAGCTAGTGTTGCAGATTGCGTTGTTCCTTAATCTTCGAATTAGATCCGACTTATTATTTTTTGCAGACTGTTACTGCAATTTTATAAAAGTAAGCTTGAACTTTCGATTATGTCAAATAGAATTTTCGATATATATTTACTAATGTGTAAAGGATCTACAAAGTGAAAGTATGTTTCGAAGTCCATTAAACAAAAATTGGAATTGCTGCAAAAAATGGATAAAGGGATATCCTTTGTTTATCTAACCATTCCGAAATCTGGTTATCAATTTCACGCTGCTTTGCGGCGAGGGGAGGGAGGCCGCGACGTGCAATGAATTGGAAGTTGATCTGTCAGCACTATCTTTATCTTCAGGGCAGATGTTTTTATTTTATTTGGCTTATAATTCCTTACTAAATGTAGTATTTCATCTCGATGCACTCCGTCTTTGATATGATTTAAATCAAATTCCTCATCATTATAATTCGCTTCCGATAGCGAAGAAAGTGACTCAGAGGTTATTGAAAACGAAAAAATCATTTCATTTCATCATGGTCCATATAACATGTACACCAAGTTTCAACAAACTAAATCTGCCAGAATGGGCTCTGTGTAAGGTTTAAATGGAGTAACTTTGATTATAACCACACTGCATATAATAAAATTCAAATTATTTGATTATTTTTCATTTAGAGTGGTTTTTTACAATATTTGTGTTATTTCTTTTTTCAGACCAAATTGAGTGTGATTGAATTTGCTTTGAATTTAGTTATATACACTGAAGTGACAAAAGTCATGGGATAGCAATATGCAAATATACAGATGGCAGTAGTATCGCGTAGAAAATGTATAAATGTGAAGTGCTTTGGCAGGGCTTTCATTTGTGTTCAAGTTATTCATGTGAAGAGGCTTTGACGTGATTATGGCCGCTCGACGAGAATTAACAGACTTTGAACGCAGAATGGTAGTTGGAGCTAGACGCATGGGTCATTCCATTTTGGATATCGTTAGGAAATTCAACATTCCGAGATCCACAGTGTCAAGAGTGTGCCGAGAGTATCTAATTTCAGGCATAACATCCCACCATGGACAGCGAAGTGGCCAACCACCTGCACTTAACGACTGAGACCAGCGACGTCTGCGTAGAGTTGTCAGTGTTCACAAACAAGCAACACTGCGTCAAATAACCGCAGAAATCAATGTGGGACGTACGAGGGACGTGTCTGATAGGACAGTGCGGCGAAATTTGTCTTCCTTGGGCTATGCCAGCAGAAGACCAACTCAAGTGCCTTTACTGACAGCACAACATCGCCTGCAGTGACTCTCGTGGGCTCGTGAGCATATCATTTGGTCCCTAAACGAATGAGAAACTGTGGCTTGGTCAGATGAGTCACGATTTCAGTTGGTAAGAGCTGATGGTAGGGTTCGAGTGTGGCGCAGACCCCATGAAGCCATGAACCCAAGTTGTCAACAAGGCACTGTTCAAGCTGGTGGTGGTTCCATAGTGGTCTGGGCTGTTTTTAAATGGCATGGACTCGGTCCTCTGGTGCAACTGAACCAATCATTGACTGGAAATGGATACCTTCAGCTACTTGGAGATCACTTACAGCCATTCATGGACTTCACGTACTCAAACAACAATGGGATTTTTATGGATGACAATGCGCCATGTCACCGGGCCACAATTGTTCGCAATTGGTTAGAAGAACATTCTGGACAATTCCAGCGAATGATCTGGCCACCTAGATCGCCCGACATGAATCCCATCGAACATTTATGGGACATCATCGAGAGGTCAGTTCGTGCCCAAAACCTGCAATGTCAACACTTTCACAATTATGGACGTCTATAGAGGCAGCATGGCTCAATATTCCTGCAGGGGACTTCCAACGACTTGTTGAGTCCATGCCACGTTGAGTTGCTGCACTTCGCCGGGCAAAAGGAGGACCGACAAAATATTAGGAGGTATCCCATGACTTTTGTCACTTCAGTGTATATGTATTCACAGACACGTAAGCTTACTTTTCTTAAGAAAATAGAATTTGTAAAAAGTGTTTTATTTTCAAATCTATATTATTGTATTGGAATATTTAACTACTGAATAACTATGATTTTGTAGAAATTATTTTCTCATGTACCGAAGCCATTTATTTTATTTTAATATTTATCATCAAATGTATGGACTTTTGTAATTTTTTTAATTTATTATATTTAAGTATAGATTATGTATTTCTATTCTTTAATTTTTTATTATGTTCTCAAATTTTTTATTGTATAGAAGTACACAATGTCTTAGAATATATTTTGTAACAGATATTCTTATCTAATCCATTACACAGTAAAATAGTTATAACAAGCATGTTGTGAAAAAATTTTTCACTCGACTCTAACACCACAAAAATCAAAACAGACTTTAAAATTTTTCAGAGTTTATGATACTCGTTATTGGAGTCAGAATGGGTTTGTGAAAAACTACTGTCCTGAACATCTGGTAAGTTATATGATTATTAATATTTTAAGTGTTGAACATTTTTCTGTTTAAATGTCGTAAAATGTTAGCAAATAGTACACCTGAAAAATTATACGTATTTTAGCTGTGGGTCATGAAATGAGAAAAAAGCAACATCTTGACACATTTGTGTGAGGATATTAATTATATGGAAAGATAAGAAATTTACCCTATAAGAGTTGTTGAAGCTGTAACAAGAAATTTTTCTTAATAAATTGAATGCTTAAAAAAATGAAGTCTGTATGATGCATTATTTTCTGATTTTAATAAGGAAATTGGATAAAAACAACCAAATGTTAAAATATTTTAATTTTCAGACTGAAAATTTTCTTGTTATTGTTGTTATATGCATTATGTGCTAAAAAGTAAAAAACATTTTAACCTAAATGTAATAAGTGTTATTATTCATGAAAATTAGTGAGGATGGCAGTAGTATCGCGTTTAATTTTTTTTTATCATCTATTTATTAAGCAAGTTCAGTTAGAAGAAGAATTGAAGCTGATACGATGGCTGTAAATTTTATAACAAAACGTGTGATACATGTTATCAGAATAATTTTTTATCATCATCCTCTGCCCTTGGTAGAAAGGCAATTCCTTATCAAGATAGTCTCTCTTATCCCAAAATGTCTTTACTGTCAGTTTTGCAGAATAAATTATTATATATATATATTATATATATATTATATATACAATAAAGTATATATATATATATTCAAAATAAAGTAATTTATAAGAAAACTTTCCATATACCACCTCCAAGAAACACAAATTCAATTTAAAACCCATGAATGAAAAAAAAAAAAAAAAAATCTTAGTTAAAATTTAAATTAGTATTTAATTAGTAATTTCAACTTTTAAAAATCTGCTAAGAAAAGAATAAGTTTAAAAATTTGCCAAGAAAAATTTTAAAAAATCTGCTAAGAAAAATTTTAAATCACAAAAATACCAAAACCAAAAGTAAATTTTAAATATTGAAAAAGTAGTTATTGTCATTGATCCCAGATTAATCGACTTATCAACTGGATAAACCAATCTACCATCAATTAACAACTAAATTAAGAGAGTGTTTCATCCTACACTTTCAAGTAAGCATCAAATTATTTGCTAGATTCAAACCATAAGTCAAAATTAATACTCAATTCAAATAAAGACATTAGTCCAAATGTTAGCATTTAATTAGTTTATTAAAAACACGTTCCGTCAAACATTAATTGTTAAATACTTGCTTTATTCAGAAACATTACCGTCAACATAACTGCTCAAAAAACATTACCGTTCAAATTATTATGGTTCTGAAAAAAACTGTTGTTGCCAATCGGGAAAATACATTTTAAATAAAATTAATACATTGCGTTTACATTCGGGCATCCTGACTTAGTTACTACCTCGGAACATTAAGAACTTATATTTAAAAAAATTAAATCTGTAATATTAATGTTTATAGTTCGAAAGTCTTTAGCTGTCATATAGATTCAGCATCGTTTTCTATTCTTTTTCCGTGTACTAGTTTTAGTAATATGCGGCATGTTGTTATCGTTATCCCCAGTAACACTAATGCCATCACCATCATCATCGTCTTCTTCTGATTCAGCTTGACACTGCCATGACTTTAATTGGCTCACATGAGCTGTCGTACTAAAGAAATGTCCTTTCACCTTCTCTTCTAATTGAGTCACTCTATAGGTATCACTTGGTAAAACTTCTGTAACTACCAAAGGTCCTTGATACTTTTGTTGTGTTTTGGTTGATTCTCCAGTTGATTTAGGTACTCTTCTCATAACTACTATTTCTCCTCGTTCGAATGTTAAAGAATTGCTTTTCTTCTTGTCATAATTTGCTTTCATTTTCATCTACATATCTTCAGTTCTCTTTCTAGCTTCATTCTGTAAGATTACTGGATTCTCCCATTCATCTGCGTCTTCATATCTGTAATCATCCTCATCAATCCGTCGTTAAATTTTGGTGAATAACCGTGAAGCATTTCGAAAGGAGTTTTATTCGTAGTCCTTATTTATCATATTGTTTAGATTTCTTTCGCATTCCTTAATCTATTTGTCCCAGTCTCCTCTGATTCGGATTTTCCATACTCGTTTTAATCGTAGCCAAAATTGTTCGATTTGCTCTTTCCACCATTCCATTACCACTTGGATGCTTGAGTTGAATTGAGTGTATGACTGATTCCATTAATTTTGACAGTACTCTCGAAATTCCTTCGCTGTGAAATATGTTCCTCTATCGCTGGATAATTTTTTCTGGTAACCCAAATCATCTACAAAACTCTTCAATGCAACTAACAACATACTTGGTTGCAGTACTTTTCATAGGATATAAGCGTATAAATCTCATAAAATTATCAATTATACAAATAAATTCTGTATTTCCTCTTGAACGTTTTACGAATGGTCCTAAATGATTCTATATGTATAATTGCAAAAGGTCTTCTACCCAGGTCTAATTGGATGCAGTACTCCTTGTTTCTTACCACTAGGCACTTTATTTACTAGGCATTCGAAACACATCGGAAATGTGACGTATAACATATCGTTTCATTCCTTTAAACCAGTATGACTCCTTGATTTTGGCAACAGTTCTATCTGCTGAAAAATGTCCCAAAAGATCGTGAAAGTTTTACTACAATACCTTTTCTCATCGATTTAGGTATGACATAGAACAAATTTTTCCTTTTCCTGATATTTTGCACTTTACGAAACAATCGATTATTCTTCAAAGACGTAATTTCAGTTACATATTTCTCTGCATTCGTTTCTATCATTTATCTTTTTCTTTAAAATGTCTATTAATTTGCGTAATTCTAGGATCTGAATGCTGAATCATAAGAATTTGTTCATCTATCGTTAGCGTTAAACAAGCTTCCAAGTTGTTTTCAATTATAGAGTCTAAAGTTTCTTCTGGCTGATCAACTGGCGATCGGCTCAATGCATCTATGTGACTCATTCTTTTGCCTTGCCTGTGCTTTATTTCAAGATTGTATTCCTGGATCAGATTACTCCACCTTGCTATCTGAGGATTTGAAGTTTTCTTCGTGTTTAAATAAACTAAAGCTTGGCAGTCTGTAATTACCGTAAATCAGATTCCAATTAAAAATTGTCGAAGTCGTGCCAAAGTCCAAACTATAGCCATTAATTCTAATTTGCTTGAATGATAATTCTTTTCTGTTTTTGTTGTTCCTTTACTTACACAATAAACTAAATGCCACTTTCTATCTTCACCTTTTTGCAACAGCATTCCTGTCAGTCCTTTGTTGCTCGCGTCTGTGTGCACTTCAGTCTCTGCTTCGGGATTATATAATGCTAGTATTGGTTCATTAGTTAAATGATCCTTTAAAAGTACTGAATGCTTCTTGATCTTCGTTCCAACGAAATGTTTTCATCCTTCCTCGTCAGTCTCGTTAGCGGCTTAGCCTTTTTTCTGCATATTTCGGTACAAACCTTCTAAAGAAACTTGTAAGAACCTAAAAATTTTTAACTTCATGTTCATTGGTTGGTTTAGGAAAGTTTAATATGGCTCGTACTTTTCTTGGTCCAGGTTGCATACTATTTGATTTTATTAGAAATCCCAAATACTCAACTTCATCTTTTCCAAATTCGCATTTTGTCAGTTTCAATGTCAGCATTGCTTCTCTCAATCTATCAAACACTTTCCTAAGTTTTTCCATCATTTCTTCCCAAGATTTAGCCGGAATTAATATGTCGTCCAAATAGCACAATACTTCTTTATTAAGCAACGGACCTAAAACTTGATTCATAAGTCTCTGAAATTCTGCAGGTGCATTAGCTAACCCAAAGATCATACGTTCAATTGACCAGTAATCATCTGGAGTGATGAAAGCTGTTTTCAGTTTCGCTTCTTCAGTTAAAGGAATCTGCAAATATCCATGAGCTAAGTCCAATGTAGTGAAAACTTACACTCACTAAGACATTCAAGAAGATCATCTATCCTAGGGAGTGGAAATTTATCTTTAACAGTTTGCGAATTCAACTTTCTATAATCTATCACTAATCGTAATTCACCTGTTTTTTTCTTTACGAGTAAAACTGGACTAGCATACGGAGATCTTGTTTCAGTAACAATTCCATATTTCTTCCATTCATTTATTATCTTCTTTATAGAAGCACGCTCTTCGGTATTGGTTTTATACGACTTCATGCAAATAGGCTTACTCCCTTCAATTTCTTTAATATCCATTTTTGTTAAGTTTGTACACCCTAATTCCTCCATATTTAATGCAAAACAATCTCGATAGTCATTTATCAAATGTAAAACTTCCTGTTTTCTCTCTGGCGTAATATTGTTATTAACTTTAATTTCTTCTAAAGTAATCGGTCTCCTAAACTTCTTAATTTCATTTATTATCAGTATTTCCTTTTGACTTGAATTTTCAGTTTTCTGATCTGAACTTGGTTCAACTAATTCTGCTACTTCCGCTCTACCGATACATTGATTCTCTTTCAAAATTAATTTTCGATCGCTGTAGTTAGTGACTGGTATCACTGTTTCTCCTGTATTACTTTCAATAATGAGCCTAACTCATCTTCCGATCCACTTATTAAAACATAACTGTTATTTATTTCATCAGTTTTACTTTCACGAAATTAACCGTATTACTTTCGATTTGAGTTTCTTGGGAGCCTTCAGTTTAATTCGCGGCGAGTGTTGCTATCATTTGGCAACTGTGAAAATGGGCAGTCATTAGCATAGCGTATGTGCAAGGTATTACCTATCTTGGTGTATGCAATATGCGGTAAATCAATCCATGTTCGACCAACTAATAAGTCGCATGGTTGCGTTTCATCTCCTACAATTAGAACTGTAATGTCCTTTCCTTCCACATTATCAATCTCTAAGTTAACAGTTACTTTTCTCAATGTTCTAGCGGCTGGTTTATTCTGGTTCCCAAAGCCAAACAATTCTTCCACATCAGGTTTTACAATAAGATTCAGTCTCTTAGCCGCAGACTGT